CAACTCTTCATCCTTATGTTGTAGTGACTGTTATTCCCGGCAATCATGTCAATCGCTCGAACTTTTTTCTCGGAATCATGTTTTTGCCAGCAGGAGAAAAATGAGGAATTAAAGAAATGAAAGACGCAGGGCAGAAAAGAAATCTCTCTCATCCATGGCTTTTTATTTTTGGCTCTCCATGACCAGCTGAAATTTCATCAGCATTGTCGAATTTTTCCGCGTTTCTAGAGATCAACCATCATAATCGGCGGGGAATTAATTATTTCGCTCGATTTGTTCTCTTTCGTCTCGATTGGCCTTCTTCTTTGCTTCCAGGTAACTTTCCCACCCTTGTTTGACACCAAAAAAAAAAATTTAAAGAAAAGGTGTGCTCGAACCGAGAAGATGAAATAAACTCCATCGAAAGTTGTCCAAAACGCCGAACTTCAAGCACAACTAAATTTTTTTTTCTCCGTCGGATTCCGCGCAAAAACACAAGAGCAGTTCGACATTCTGAAGTATTGCTACTCGATTTACACTCTAGCGAAATTCGCTTTCCTCTGCGAATTTGAAAACTCGGGAAAAAGCTATGCTTTGAAATGAAAATTTGCATACAAGAACGTCTGCGGCACGTGGTTCAAGTCAACTGCTGGGACACGGTTTTTTGTTGTTGTTGAGGGTTTCTTTCAAGAAAAGAAATCGTCTCCTAGACCTTTTTTTTTCGAGTAGAAGAGGTGTCACTTTATTGGAAATTATCTACCATCGGAAAAATCGGTTTTTGGAAGTTGCAGTCGGGATTTAAACTTCACTGCATGAACTAAAAAGGAGTCAACATCGGATTTTGTCCTTGCAATTAACCTGAACCACTTTGAATCCAGCCAATCCGCAGAACACAAACGAATACAGGCGAAAAACACTCACGAGAAAATCTATACTGTATATATAGACACGAAAAGCGTTTCCCTTAAAAAAAAAGCTTCTTATTTTTGGCGATTTCTCAAAAAGTATTGTGCGCGAGGACGAGACCCAGAAGAAGAAGAAAAAAACCGGAATGAAATCAGGAAAGGTTCAATCCGCAAAAGAAAAAAAAAATGAGTTCCTTTTCTTTTGAAAACTTGTTTCGCTTGCTTTTTTGGACTTGTTTTTTTTTCTTTCCCTTTTCCTCCTTTTGGTGTGATGGGGTTTTTAGCATAGGGTATGGCATTGTGCGGGATGCAACAGCTTTTGTCGCAAACACTTTCGCATGCATTCGTGGCTGCGCTTGCGATAAGCACTGGCCTTCAGCATGTAGTGCAGGCTTCTGTTGTTGGTGTGGGTCCTGCGATCCGCCCTTCTGAAAATCCTGCTTTCGCTTTGAGCTGCTGTAGAAAAAGAAAAGGTGAGAAAAAATGATTTATTAAAACTGGGCTTGAGAACTTTGATCATAAATTGAAGCTGTAGTTCAGAATTCAGAATTTAACCCTCATTGGGAGGTCAATTTCCATCATGTGGGGGTGCCTGGAAATTTTGGCATTTTAGTTTGACCATCATCAACTTGTTCTTTGTTTCCTGCTTTGAAGTGATCAAATGTCTTTGAGGGGATTTGGGTTGGGTGGGGAGGGGGTTTGGATGTGGAAATCTTGATTGTACCTTGTGAACGCTGAAACGCGGCAAATAAAGTGTTCTGTTCATTCATTCATAGTTTGACCAAAGGTCACCAAAATGCAGCTTTGGCTATATATAGCCAAAATTGAGAAACATTCCAGAGAGCAAAAACCGTTGTCTTCAAAATCCCTTATGCTAATCCTGTGGTTGGAATGTAGAAAAAATTCCACCCTGCATTAAATCCGTTTTTTTCTCAGAAATATTTATCTGCAGGAATGAATAAAATTGGGATTTTTCCTGACCTTGGCTCTTGGGATCATGCTAGGCAGTGGCACAAAATTGTGCAAATAAATCCTGGCAAAGCTGCCGAAGGGTTAACCCTTCTGTAGCAAAGTTTGCATATTTTTTCAAAATTGTTTGCCCGTGGGCACTGAAAAGAATAAAAAACCTGAAAGATGAATCATTTTTTGAAGCACCTATCCCAGTTTTTGACAGTCTGTATATTCAACATGGAAATCCTTTCTAGATAACAATTCTGAACTCAATTTTGATGAAATAAAAGTCAGAGATACAAAGTAAATCCAAAGAGTAAAGAATGGAATATCCTTGTCAAGCAAAAAATGGCTATACATGCAGCTTTTTTGTAAACTTTTTTGTTGAAAAATCTTCCTGTGCTTTGAATGTTATGTGCACCAATATTAAAAATTTATGGGTAGAAGTGTGCTAAAGTATGAGAAGTGTGGCCGATTTTTTGCAATAGATTTCCAGAGGAAAGGTGCAAGTGATACTCAAGAAAATTCAGTACAGTATCTGAAATTCACAATTTGTGTGAGCTTCTAAATGCCAAATGAAAGATTCCAGCTAAACCTTCTGCATCTAATTCTGGATGTTCTCACAAAATTTTGTGCCCAAGAGCACTGAAAACAAAACTCTTATTTTGAAACCAATAGGCCTAAGATTGAAAAAAAATTTCTCCAGCAGACTATTTAGGCAGAAAAAGTTCCCCTTTGATAGTATGTTGGCATTTTTTCTCTGCATTCATAAAATAGGACTAACTTAAGAGATATTTTTCAAACAATAGGATTCACTCTTCCCAGATTTTTCCAAATTCTCAGGTCTTTGCAATCAAGAGCACCTGTGTGCCAAAAAATCCTGGCTTTGCTGAGGAATGGAAATGAACCACAAATGTCTGAGGGTTGTTTGATGAAATATGATCTTTTCAGCTGGCACAGTAGAATGTTGGCAACAACAACAAAAAATCCCAGATTTTAAAAATATTGTTTGTTCTGTGGCTACCCCAGTTAACAAACATTGATTGAACAAGCATTGGTACACTTGGACCTTGCAAACTCAAATCTCCAGGAGGCAAAAATCCCACTCATCAAATTGTTTAACCCTTCTTAACCCTTCAGCTGATTTCCAGGCTTGTGCATTTTGGTTTGATTGAAGGTCACCAAAATGGAACCTGAGTACAGTGTCCTAAGCTGGGAAATATTTGGATGAACCAATTGAGTAAAATTGGCAATTTCCAGCTTTCCCTTTTTGACCTCCCCCTCCCCCTTTCAAAGATAATCCTATGGCTGAAGGTGGAAGGAAAAGCAGCCTCAATAAGGCATATTTTGGCACTCCCAAAAATCCCCAAAAATGTTTCACACCAGCAAAGAGAAAATGTATGAGAATATTTGCAAACGTACCCTATTTAATGACCGGTGTACTGTAATATGTATATTTTTTATTTTAGAGTGTCCAGTGAGGGAATACAGTACTGCAAAAAACCTGGCTAAATTGCTGGAGTGCGAAATTTTCTCCATGAATTCTCTTTAACCCTTGGATAGTGGAGGGCTCCTGGTCATCCTACAGCGAAGTTGGGATTTTGGGGGGAGGGGGCAGCACACTTCAGTTCAACCAAAGGTCACTGAAATGCACCCATTGGGAAGGCCTAAGTTCCTAAGTAGGGTAAATTCAGGGAAGGGTGAATCTTTTTGTTATCAAAAATCTCCAATGCTAATCCTTTGCAAGGAATTCTTGAAAAAAAGGCCACCCAGTAAGGCATGCAGGATTATAAAAAAAATTTGGACTTTTTCCTGACTTAAGCCTTGGTACAGTGCAAAAATAAATTTTTATATTTTATTTTTAGTGCTAAAAGTTTGAAAAAATATCCCAACTTTGTTGCACAAGGATTGAAACAGTATAGTTTGACATCTGAAGTTTTACACTTTCTACTTCCCTGTGAATGTTCTGATACTGTTTCCAAAACAAATACAAGTTCTGTCAACTTAAAAACTCCATGAGCCAAGTTTTTTCTGGTTGCTATGCATTTGGGATAGGAAGGTGCTGACTGTAAATTCAAGTATGCGCCTCCCAAAATGCCTGCAATGTATTCTATGTGTCTTTAAGAAGGATAAAATCATTCTCAACCTTCCCAATACCTTAAAAGAGTACAGTGGCCCCCCGCCTAACAGACCTCCCATGTAAGGGATTTTTGCCAAACAGACCAGCTCTGCAAGCAGTTTTTCCTCCCACTCAACAGACAAAATCCACCAAACAGACTTCCTTTGGTTCAAAGTTAGTGTTGAAAATTGAAATTTTTAATTTTTTATGTAATTGAATTCGTGTAAAGGACTTTTCATCTAACAGACTCGTCCCTTGCACGAATCAAGTCCGTTAGATGGGGGTTGACTTTAGTTGGTCAAGCAAATTCAACATCCATGCTCTTAACCAGAAAGCATAAACATAAAAAAACGCGAATTCCTATAAGAAAAGACTTGTTCCTCTTTGATTGTCCTTTGCAGAAAAAAAAGGCGAATAATGTACATTACTTCATGCTTCTCATGTATGTGCACCTTGAGGTGAAAATAAAGTGTTGTGCTGAGTCGATGCCCTTGAGACCCATCAAAACGACCGCCTGGCGAATCATAAAGGCATCATCAGTGAGCAATTTCCGTGATGAAATTTCCTCGAAGACATTACTGCATTTTTCATGAATCAAACGAAATTCTCTTTCTCACTATATAAGGAAGTAATGAGCGTCGCGCTGCCAAAAATGAAACGAACGAAGCTGATGAGTACAGTATAGCGCTAATTGACCTGGATTCCAGCGAAATATTGAATCGCTTCATTTATGGATTTCTGTCATACATACTTGCGAAAGTCTAGAGCGAAAAATACTCCCAATCACACAGATTGCACAGCATAAGATGTTGTACGTGCTGGTTGTAGACCCAATTACACCAGAGAATCGATGACGATGCCGAAATAGGACGGAAATCACGTGCGAAATTAAATCATCTTCTCCGTGGATTCAATCGCAAGGAGTTGATTAATTTTCGACTAAAAATAACAACAACGAAAGTTTAAGTATATGCGATGACGAATATCTGCAGGCGTCATTCGCGTGTTTTTGCATTAATTCATCGCTAAGAATTATAAATAGGAACTTTGAATGAGTGGTAATTTAAATAATAGACTATGGAGTCCTAAAAACTTCACGGAAGTTAAAATATAAATCCTGTATCTATTTCATTATTCAGTTATATTGCAATTGATTCTTTTCATGACTTGAAAAAGGGGACCTCTGAATGAATATCGTGGGAGAACACTCTATTTTCATTATTATTTATCAATAATTATTCATTGACGATTCACTGCGAAAAATAATTCAGAAGTATTAAATTTTGAGCGGAAGCTGTTTTATTGCTGTTGTTATTTGCAAATATTTTTTGGGAATTCCTAAAAATTTTGTCGTGAGGGAAATTTGCGTAAGTATTGATGATGATTTCGGCACGAAAAATTAAAGCTTCGAGTTTTCCAGAAAAATGCATCAAAAAATATGAAATAATGCACTTGGCTTTTGAATGTCACCGGTTTATAACAAAGTAACGAAGATGAAGCGGGATTTTTTCCCGCACCGTAAACTACGCGAATAGCCTACTCTACGTCGAATTGCTTTCACTTCAAAGCACAAAAGCGTCGCTTTAGTTTTGTTCCCTCTTCTTTCGTCTTACTTTAAGTAGTATGATATGAACCTGATCAAATCCACAGCTTTTCCTCGCAGAAGCCAAATCCTCAAAAATTCAAGGTTCACAGAGAACAATTTCCGCTGGAAATTTATTTCGTAAAAAAAAAATGTCGTAGACACAAATTTTGATCCTCGTCGATCGGAATTTAATTTCATGAATTCCCAAATATTGTGAAAATTTTATGAACGAATCTTCGTAGAGAAGCTTGAGGAAAATTTCCGATTGATTCGTTTAAAAGTTTTTGAGGACCTTGATTTTGTTCTCCGTTTGTCAAACCATCATACGGAAGCCAAAATGAAAAAGTATCACAATTAAATATAAAAAAATACATCATGTTCCACGCTCAAATTTTTTGCGAAGTCCAAAGATTTTTAAGCATGTGGAATACCCAAAAATTGCGAAGCAATTGTGAAATTTTTTTTAAAGAGGAACACTAGTTCAAGCAAAATTCCTAAATTTATTTTTATAAAATTTGCGAGAGTCTCGATTTTGCTAATTTATTTTTCTGAACACCACATATAGAAGCAAGGAAGACACTCAATTTGCCTGTTTACAAAAAGGTTGGCAGTTGGTACAGAAAACCTTTCCCTTTTCACAAGCATTCTACGCCCACACAGAAGCAATAACAACCACCGCGGGTTTTGTTCTGGCACACGAACGGTTTCATCGAAAAATACACAGGAACCCCCAAAAGGTTCGTGTTTAGGCACGATTACATCACCAAAGATTTTTGTCCTGCGACATGCTTTGTCGTAACAACATCTTTTATGACTTTGAACAACAATAAAATGAATACTCTATAGAGATGCCCCCGATTTTTCTCGGACAGGAGCAGGATCTACTTTTTTTTTCCTATGAAGAAATCTCGTGATGGACTTCCTTTCCTGAATTTTATTTATTCACTTGTCCATTTTTATTAAATTTAGGTTGGAATTTTCAAAAATATAATCTTTTGAATGATGAGAATAAGGTTATAACGAATGTTCTTGTTATTCACAAGATCACAAGCAAATAAACCAGGCATTTGAAAAAGAAAACGGGGCTTCCGAAGTCAATATTCATTTGCTTTTCCGGTGGAAATACGAAACATAGACGAATTGCTTTACAACCAACTGCTTCCCAACATTACAACTTGAAAAAAAAATTCTCAGAAGGACAAACGATTTTTTCCTCCGAAGGGATGTTAGCGGGAAAAAATAAACATCAGCGGAAGTTACGAATGACTCAACAAAAGCGCTTTGCTCTTAATTGCTTTACTGCCTTTCAACAGCTGAAAGATGTTGGAGCAGGGGATGTTTTCAACTTTTGTTGACAACAGTGAGTGACTAATCTCGTTTTCCACGAAAACTTGCTCAGTTTTCTGACGCTGGTTGCTGGCAAACAGAATTAGTGAACCGACGAATTCATCATGGAATTTGATATTCTTCCTGTTTTTTTTTTTCAAGGTAAGTAATAGTTTTCAATATCCCTAATAGGAATTCCGTCTTCAGTCCAGATATTTTAAATACTTTTTCATCATTCATAAAACGGGAGTCAATCTGGTTATTTATTTACTTATTTCTGAAAAGAAGAGTTTATATCTCAATTATTTGCTCAAATCAAGAAATACAAACCGACAAATTGAAGCACTGTAGAAAGTATTCAACACAAAATTCTGAATATTTCAACAGAAAACACGAATGAACGTGAAAAATCCTGGCTCCATTTCATTAAGAAGGGATTTTTGCTCCTGGAAAAATCGGGTCATATTTTATCCTTTTTATTATTGGCAGATTGTGCGCTAGAAAATTTCTTTTGTGTAAAAACTCTGAGGAAGCGTGAAAATGTTTATAATTTCGGGAAAAAAAACTATAATGAATGATTCGTAAAATTATGAATAATTGGATGATATTGGGAGAAATATCTCACCGATATTGTTGCGGTCGTTGTCAACTGCCTCGTCAACGTCGACACTTGATAAAACCCGAGAGAAAATGGCCAGAAACAGTTTCAATTTCTTGACCAAAGTGGCGTAGTTTTCTGGGCTGTTGGACGAGGCGCCGTCGAAAATTTTTGAATCCCTATCATCCGTGCCATCTTCGATTTGTGTGTCATCATCCACTCTGTACCTGTGATCAGAAAATGAATTGTGTGTTCTTGAATGAAAACCTTCCGCAAAATTTAATCCGGCATCAATTTGTAAAGTTATAAGCCATTGAAAAGCATGAATCAAAAAAGGAAACCGTTGCTGGTATAATTGGGAAAGGCACTGCTGGTCTGTGGAAGTTTTTTGCTGGTCCACAAGAAATTTTCTTCTGCATAATGAAAAGTAGCAAAGAAGTACAGTCTGTTATCTTCAACTAAAAATTTGGAAAGACAATGGCAGTTTCAACTGTCTGAAAAATGAAAAGTTGGCTTTCTCCTAGTGAAACTTTTTCAGACAAATTGTCATCTTCTGAAATTAATTATTTAACTTTTTCCATTCTGAGAAACCTTTCTTCAATCAAACCCACCTTTCTTATTTTTTGAGGACATTCCACAATAGCTGCTTCATTCATTCTTACTTTTTTCTTTTTCAAAAAAGCAGAACATTTTGAAATACCTGCCATAAAGTCTTCCAGACAAAACTTTCTGACTCAAAGCTGTGTCAGTCTGCACTCTGTAGAAACTTTCTGGATATTTGCCAGTCCACAAAAAAAAAAAAAAAATGATGGAAATTTGCTGGTCCATGTGCCCAAAAAGATTGTGGAACACTGAAACTAGAGAACATGTGCTTCCATTTCCCCAACTCAAGCCTTGGTTCAAGTGTAATGTTTTATTTTATTTTCTGTGCTGATGGGCACAAACATTTTGTGAAAATACCCCAACTCTGCCACAGCATAAGGGTTAATGGAGTTTCTTTTCTTTTTCAACAAGGACACAATTCCAAAAATTGAGAGAGAAAAAAAACAACAAAAGAAACACACCTGCTGTCCTTGGTTTCATCAATTTCCCCGTCATGAGGCTTGACCGATGATGACCCATGAGTAACCTTTCGTGGCGGCGCCCTCTGCCGGTCCCGAACTGCGAACGCGGGGTCCCTTGTTGGACGAGGCGCCGTCGAAAATTTTTGAATCCCTATCATCCGTGCCATCTTCGATTTGTGTGTCATCATCCACTCTGTACCTGTGATCAGAAAATGAATTGTGTGTTCTTGAATGAAAACCTTCCATTTAATCCAGCATCAATTTGTAAAGTTATAACTTATAAGCCATTGAAAAGCATGAATCAAAAAGGAAACCGTTGCTGGTGATTGGGAAAGGCACTCCTGGTTTGTGGAAGTTTTTTGCTGGTTCACAAGAAATTTTCTTCTGCATAATAAAATTATGATAAGTAGTAAAGAAGTACAGTATCTTGTCTTTAACTGAAATTTGGAAAGACATTGTCAGTTTCAATTATCTGATAAATTAAAACTTGGCTTTTCTCCTAATGACACTTATTCAGACAAATTGTCATCTTCTGAAAAAAATTGTTCAACTTTTTCCATTTCTAAAAAACCTTTCTTCAAGCCCACCTTCCTAATTTTTTTTAGGACATTCCGCTTTTAGCTGTTTTATTCATTCTTCACTCATTTTTGAAAAAAAAGGAAATTTTGAAATACGTACCATAAAGTCTTCCAAACAAAACTTTCTGACTCTAAACTTCGTCAATCTGCAGAAATTTTTTGGAAATTTGCCAGTCCAAAAAAAAATTGATTGAAATTTGCTGGTCTGTGGGCCCAAAAAGGTTGGGGAACACTGAAACTAGAGAACATGTGCTTCCATTTCCCAACTCAAGCCTTGGTTCAAGTGTAATGTTTTATTTTATTTTCTGTGCTGATGGGCACAAACATTTTGTGAAAATACCCCAACTCTGCCACAGCATAAGGGTTAATGGAGTTTCTTTTTTTTATTCAACAAGGACACAATTCCAAAAATTGAGAGAGAAAAAAACCAACAGAAGAAACACACCTGCTGTCCTTGGTTTCATCAATTTCCCCGTCATGAGGCTTGACCGATGATGACCCATGAGTAACCTTTCGTGGCGGCGCCCTCTGCCGGTCCCGAACTGCGAACGCGGGGTCCCTCCGGCTCACCAGGATATCGCCGCTTCCGGACGTGGGCGCGGCTTGTGCAAATCCCCCGGGGTCTTCGTGACTCTCTTCCGCTGAAACGCCACCGATAAAACCAACAAAAAAACAGCACATCAGACGAAGCAAAGGAAAGCCTCGCCACGCAATTTGCACACACACAAAAAAAGTAAGAACAAAAACATGCAGCCCTTTTCTCTTATTCTCAAGAAAAAAAAAGGAGTGGGGGAATATAGAGATGGAATTGACAAGTCCGGAATCGATCCTGGATCAATGGCATTTACGTCGCATCTCCTTATTCTACCTGATCTTTATCCGTGCCAAATTTATCCACTAGTTGGCCCTACTTGAACGATGGCATTAGAACGACGATATTTCTTTCGGTATTTTTTTTTTGATCAATGGCATTTACGTCGCATCTCATTATTCTACCTGATCTTTATCCGTGCTAAATTTATCCACTAGTTGGCCCTACTTGAACGATGGCATTAGAACGACGATATTTCTTTCGGTATTTTTTTTTTCGCGTTAAAATTTGCGGGGATTTCTGAAAAGTCGCCTTGGATAGACCACAAAAAGTAGACGTGGATTTTGAAGCAGAAATAAACATTCTACCTACTTTATAGCTATGCTTAAAAATTGCAATTTTATCTGTGTGGCCTGTATATGCATTTATATTTACAAAAATATTGATCTCTCGAGATTTTTTTTTTCACGCGCAAAATTTGAACAACCCAGCTTCCAAAATATTTTTTCAATCGTCGAAAAATACGCGAAAAATCTCTCTCCCGATTTTTAAAATGCCCTTGATTGAAGATTGAATGCGAAAGAAAGCACATTTTTTTTTTACATCAATCGCAGGATTTTTCATGAGATATAGTTGTTTTAAAATAAAATGAAATATTCATGCTCATTTTGCATCAAAGAATTTTTTCCCTGATTCAGTAGAAACAGAGACTCAAAAATAATAATTCTTCGGTGTGCACCGACAAATATTTTTTCGTGAATTTCCAAAGCACGTGTGAGGAATTTTTTGTGAATAAAATTCAAGCCCCTGATTCCTGAATATTCTCTTGAAAATCATAAATGAAGACTTGAAGAAAGAGCGTCTCAGCTACATATGGTGGCTGTTTAAAAATAGCAAAAATCTGCGCAATGAAGCCTGGATTCCTAGGAAAAAAAAAAACTTGAATCCTATAGGTGTCAGACTGCATGACAAGTTGCTAGGAAGTGCCATGAATGCAAAGGTTTTAAGAACTTTTCTCCCCGGCGACAAGAAATGAACCAGTTCCAGCACGAGTCGGACTGCATTTTAGTGCCTTTCGCCTCCAAAGAGGTTCTTGCTGACGTGGCATTCATACAAAACGACACCTGCCACTTTTTTTTTTGCTGTCAATTCTTTCAAACAAGAGTGCATATATATTGGCTGTGATCAATGGCATTTACGTCGCATCTCCTTATTCTACCTGATCTTTATCCGTGCCAAATTTATCCACTAGTTGGCCCTACTTGAACGATGGCATTAGAACGACGATATTTCTTTCGGTATTTTTTTTTCGCGTTAAAATTTGCGGGGATTTCTGAAAACTCGCGCTGGATAGACCAGAAAAAGTAGACGTGGATTTTGAAGCAGAAATAAACATTCTACCTACTTTATAGCTATGCTTAAAAATTGCAATTTTATCGGTGTGGCCAGTATATGCATTTATATTTACAAAAATATTGATCTCTCGAGATTTTTTTTTTCACGCGCAAAATTTGGATAACCCAGCTTCCAAAATCTTTTTCCAACCGTCGAAAAATACGCGAAAAATCTCTCTCCCGATTTTTAAAATGCCCTTGATTGAAGATTGAATGCGATAGAAAGCAAATTTTTTTTTACATCAATCGCAGGATTTTTCATGAGATATAGTTGTTTAAAAAAAATTCATGTTCATCTTGCATCAAAGAATTTTTTCACTGATTCGGTAGAAACAGAGACTAAAAAATAATAATCCTTCGGTGGTGCACCAAGAAGTGTTTTTTCGTAAATTTCCAAAACATCTGTGGGGAATTTTTCGTGAAGGAATTTATCTGGAAAATTCAAGCCCCTGATTCCTGAATATTCCCTTGAAAATCATGAATGAAGACTTGAAGAAAGAGCGTCTCAGCTACATAGTGGCTGTTTAAAAATAGCCAAAATCTGTACCATGAAGCCTGGATTCCTAGGAAAAAAAAACTTGAATCCTATAGGTGTCAGACTGCATGACAAGTTGCTAGGAAGTGCCATGAATGCAAAGGTTTTAAGAACTTTTCTCCCCGGCGACAAGAAATGAACCAGTTCCAGCACGAGTTGGACTGCATTTTAGTGCCTTTCGCCTCCAAAGAGGTTCTTGCTGACGTGGCATTCATACAAAACGACACCTGCCACTTTTTTTTTTGCTGTCAATTCTTTCAAACAAGAGTGCATATATATTGGCTGTATGTGTCGAGATTTTGTCGACTGACAGACGATTCTCTAATAGGACCACTTCAGTTTCATGTGATACTTGTCAATTTTATTTCTAGCTAACGGAGGATCCATGAACAGGATTCCAGGAAACCTGATTCTTCCAAGATATGTTTCAAATCGTAATCGCACCCTTTTCACAGAATTGAGTTTATCTTGTAAAGTGATCAATTCTGCGTAAATGTTCATCTTCTCAATAATAATAAAAAAGGTTTGTTTAAAAGCTTGTATGTCTCAAGGTCGCAAAATCTTTAATTTCAATTCTTGCTGTTGGGACACCTGTAAAAAATTACAGCTGAACCTCACAGCTGATTACAGGTTCGTATAATTTCTAGGCACCAGGAAAACATTTTTTACTTAGGAAGGTTATGATTTTTTGAGGTTTTGAGTAAAGGAAGCAAACATTATGCTGCAAGGAAAAGCAAAAAAAGTGGGAAACTATAGATGAGGATATTCTGGGCCAAAACTTACTTCTTAATGAGTTTATAGCTTGTTGAACTTGGAGGCAGGGGTTCATTTGTTTGATTAGTCTTTCACTTCATGTCAAGATGCATAAAATCATTTATTTCATTGATTTTCTCTTTCATATTTCAAGGAAATAATGGTCAAAAGGCCTCAGAAAATTCAACTTATCAAGGTTATTGAAAATACTTTCAGTTAAGGAGGTTTTAACCCTTGTGCGGCAAAGTCGGGATATTTTTGCAAAATGTTGTGCCACTGGACACTGGGAATAAAAAAAAACACTACTTTCTCACCAAGGGCTAAGTAGAGAATAAGTCCAAGATTTTTTTCTAATCCTGCAGAAAATTTTCAATGAACATTTTTAAAAATCCCTTGCTGGGGGGCGTTTTTTCCTGCATTCCTGGCATAGTATTTTCATGGGGAAATCTTGGAAACAAAAAAAAATTTGCCTCCTGGATTTTTCCTGACTTAGGCCTCCTCAACCTGGGCACATTTCAGTAACCTTGGGTCAAACTGAAATGCGCCGCCCCCCAGGAAAAATCCCAACTCCACCATGCACTGAGAAAGAACCCTCTGCCATCCAAGGGTTAATGAATTTTTTCAAGGGAATCTAAACAGAAAAAAACAATTGGGTTAGGGAGATATTTGACTTACAGAGGTTCAACTGTATTTTACTACTCCACCTGAAAAACAGGTGCTGGGCTTCAAGAGCCTCAGAGCACCAAAGAACTTGCCCCCAAAAACCTTCAAAACTTGTACCATGATGCTGTACATTGTCTCTAATTTTCCCTGTCCTACCAAATCAAAAACCAGGAAAGAATCTCAACTTCCACGCAGAACAAGTACAACACAACCCTTCCTCAATAACCCACAAAAGCCAAAAAAATTAAAATCAGCCGCAGTTTCTCATTCAGAATCTCATCCCCATTATTAGCTTCCACTGTTGGATCCAATTCTGTGACAAATTGTGCAAACTATTCTGTGTCTTTCTTTTGGGACATAAATACATATCAATTTCTTGGAGCCTCTATAAAGAAGCTCCCAGTCTGTCCCAGGCTGATTGTAGTGTTTTATTCATAAATTCTCTTTGCTTGGGCAAATCCCTAGCACTTGCAATTTCTTTGTGAAAATAACCAAAGAATTTTTTGGATAGAGTCATAAATCTGTTCACTTTTTGTTGGGGACTCGCGGCACATATCCCATAAAAATCAATCATAAATATTTAATCGGGTGGAAAACCACCCGCGCATGAAAAATGGATGAAATCCGTCAATGACTTTTCCCCTCCCTTGAAAAAATTCAACTGTCTTGGCGCCAAGACATCTTTGATTACTAATTTATCAGCCAATCCCAGGCCTCCAAGATTCTCCTGCCCTTGATCAAACCCCCTTGATCAAGGACCAGAGAAGGAATTAATAAAAACCCCCATCAAATCAAAAGATGACGCAGTCTGATTTTAGCTGCCGGAGCAGTGCGTTGAGAGGTTTTCTGAGAGGTTTTTTCTGTTGTCCAAATATTTTGTCAATCTACTTGTGTTTGTGTGACTATTTCTCCAAAGCGTTTATTTGGGACATTTGAAATACACTTTAAAACTTAAACTAGGGATTCCACCATGAATTCCCGGCCCCAGTCCTGGGCTGATTCTGTGTTTTCTTTTACAACCTATTTCTAAAAACTTTTCTTTTTAGCAAACCTTTGTTGTGGTGACTTCTGTCCCCAACACTTTTCTCATCATCTCCCGCTGCTATTGGCACAATAAATAAAAACTGTATACTCGTATTCGCATTTGTTCATTTCCTGGAAGGGTGATTATTTAAATAAAACCCATTCAAGGCAGATTGAATCTTCCAAATTTAAAACGCTGTGCATACCTCATAGTGAATCGTTTCTCCCTGTCTTTCAAGCTCCAATAACCATCGTGAATTCAGAATCCTTAAAAGTTAAGCACTGCTGAATATTTCAAGGCCTATATCAATCACATCTCGTGTTGAATAATTTTCAAGAAAAAAAGGCTTCTTGCGAAATTAAAATAAATTATACGAATTTGAAAAGAAGGAAGTGTTGCCAACCTGCAGGCCAGACCCAGAGCGGAGCAAAGGAAGGACTGTCGTCAATCTCTTCCATCAGTTTCGCCGCATCGCCCGAAATTGCGTTGGCTTTGTCAGTGTTGATGCTGTTTGATGGGAAATCTCCGTCATCCAAAGTGTGTTTGACATCCTGCTGGTGAAGACGCTGCTGAACCCCGTTGTGCAAATAAAATGGCGCAAACGAACTCGGTCTTGTCCCTGAAGATGGAATAAGACGCACACAGGCACAAATGAAAAAAAAGCGCCCATGAATATGACAGTTATTTCGTGAGCATTGTGCGATTCAAAGATCTTGAGCGAGTCAATGTTGTATGACTCTTCAAATACAGATTATAGAAATATTGTTATCCAGGAAAGGAATCATTCATTCCTCTACTAAAAATACTCTGCCTTGCTGATTAATTTTCCTGTCCTCCTGACCTGTTTTTGTTCTCACTTGCTTTCATCCAGATATGATTAACGCTTCAGTGGAAGAGCCAGGAAATATTTGCAGAATTTCGTGCCATGCTGCATTAAAAATAATAAAATCTTGGTCAGGTCAGAGGAGCCAAAGTTGGGGAAAATCCCAATTTTTAAAAAATCTTTCTGCAGAAAAGCTTTGCTAAAAAAGAAGAAAAAAAACCTGATGCTGGGTAGTGGCACTTTTTCCAGCATTCCTCCCATATGATTAGTATTGTAGGGTCTGAATAACAATAACTTGAATTGTTTTGGATTATTCCTGTCTTTGCACATCTAGCAATTCTAGCCAAAGCTCCATTTCAGTGACCTTCAGTCAAACTGAAATGGGCAAGCCTGCAAAAATATTCTGGCCCTGTTGTGCAATGGAAATCAACCCACAGCTGCCCAAGGGTTAATACTGTACCTTCAGTCTGACATGTTTTTTATTTTACTTTTCTTCCCCTGAAAATGAATAATCAAGCAAGGAAAATCTTTCCCACTTATTATTATGCATGCAGGTGTAACTGTAATTGTCTCCCCTGAACCAAAAATAAAATGAAATTACTTCTCCCCAATTTCTCTCTTTCCTGGTGGCCACTTGATAGCAGATGTCCAACCCAGTTTATACTATATTCATGATAACATGATTTCTTTTCCAAAAGAGAAAACAGGTTTTTCCTGGATTATTATCATTATAAGGTTTTTGCAAGTTGGCACTGGCAAAAACCCAATGCATTACAGGTTCCCCTTTTATAATACTATTCCTGCAACCTCCTCTATTTAAAGGTGTGCAATTCTGTGCTACACAGAATTCATTGCTCAGTAACTAAAACTCTGTGTCTGTATTGGAATGCTGAAATGGAATAGAGTTTTGGTTATTAATAATGCCGCTCTTTAGATCTTGACTTTGGTTCTCATTAAAACTTTAGTACACTTTTGCAGCAAAGTTGAGATATTTTTCTTGGAATTTGTGCCAGTCAGCACTGGAAATTTGAGTAATCCTACTTTTGTACCAAGGCCAAAGTTGAAAAAAGGTTTTAAAAAATTTTCTAATCCAATAAAAAATTTGGAATGAAAAAAATCTATCACTGTGCGACATTTTTTTCCAGCATTCCTGGCATTTGATTTGAATGAGAGATTCCTGAAAACAATGGAAAATGTGCCTACCAGATTTTTCTTGAATCAAGCCTTCTCAACCTGGGAGCATTTCAGTGACCTTGGGTCAAACTAAAATTCCTGCCCCACTAAAAAATCTTGACCCTGCCATGGAATGGAAAGGAACCAATGTCCAAGGGTTAATGAAGCTTTTAAAATGCCTTCATCCTGTGTGTTGAAATTTGAAAACCAATGAATAAATAATATGTTGTAATATTGCATCCAACTCACAGTCCTTTTATGATTAATTAGGAATAAAACTAATAGTAAAAAGGACAACAAAATTCTCCTGACAGAATTATTAAAACCATTTGTTCTCATGAATTATTCATAATTTTTAAAGGAAGAAGTACTGCGTACATCTAACTGCTCATTCTCTGATGAATGTTGTGAAATGTAAAAAAAAAGGGAGACAGAACCTCATTCGAAGAACTTTTGGACGCAAGGAGGACTTTTTCATCTTGCTTGAAGGCTTTCATAAAATGCTATGCAAATTTCCCAGCAGTTTGTTGCCCTATACACCGAGATGAAACTACAGAGAAAGTGGCTTCGAAGTAAAACTCATAATAAAATTCTGTAATTTCTCGGGGTCTGAAGTCTACTAAATTTAAAGCCGGAGAGTGCTTTGGTTACTGGACAGCATTTTCTCAAAATGGTGCGGAATATGAATATTTGCTATACAATACGTTAAATAAATCCCTGAAGATCAAAACATCTTTAGAGGAATGTCAAAGGCAATTTAGCTGTTGGGTTCTCGTCGTGATAATTTCATTCAGGTTTCCAAGATTGGATTCAGAAGCAAAAAGCGCAAAAGCTTAATTGCAGCTTAATTGGTCACACTTGAAAATGTTTAAACTTCTCGAAACACGTCGTTGATGCCATAAAAAAAATTGCGTTCGAAGAATTCTTTGAACACTGGTACGCTCAGCTGAAATTGCTCGAAATAAAATAAAATTTCTCCAGGTCTGATGTTAAAAACTTTGATTGAACTTCGATGGTGTAACAGGATTTAAATTCAGGCTTCAAACAATCACACAAATATTTTTAGATAGAAAACAGGATCAAGATTTCTGTGTTGACGTGTTCTATGCGTTGTGTTATTCACACTGTATCTCGCTTAATAAATCTTCCAGAATGTTTAAACCGCTGGATTCAACAGATCATGATTGACTTAATTTTCTCAGATTATGCTGATTCGTTTAAAAAATGTTTCGCACACTTTTTTTAAATTTTGAGTCTAAGACATTTGGTGTTCTATTATTCTTTCTTTTCTGAACAACCGCATCCTTCTCTTAAAGTATTTGCCTGGATTTTTAAATTTTTCGAAAAGTATACTTCAGAGGTTTGACACATTCTAGAAGGACAAGGTTTGCCTCGGCCTCTTTGAAATCGAATTATTCCACTCACAAAGCTCTCATGTTTTTTTGCGGTTTATTTGCAGGAAATGAATTTCATTGTACTTTTTTGCATTGCAACAAGGAGTTCATGCATGATTGCCAAATCCCTGAAACAATAAGGATGTATACTGTAGCTTAAACAGCAGGATGCCCTGCTGTTTATGGGAAAATCAGCATTAATATGCTTTTTCGCATATGAAATGTCGAAAATTATATGCTTGTTGATCGAGAATACTCATCAGTTCATTGGTTTATCAGACGATCATGTTACTTATATCAGTTATATGTGAGGGGGATTTTTAACGTTTTATAAACACATTTGCGGTATCTAGCAAGAACTCAGCATTTTTTCTGCGTTTGTAGGAAGAATGATTGACACATTTCTTGTTCAAAATTAACACATCACTTGGATCAAATTATTTTTAACGCATGACTCAATTTTTAAGACTATTTTGAATAGTCGAGATTTATCCCTCGAATTCAGTCTGATTTAGCCAAGGCTTTGATAAAATGAACTGCTTAATTTTTCTTTAAATTATAATAAAAGCTAAAAGTGCAACTTCATTTCGATAATTTGATTTATTAGAATTGAATATCAACCAATAATAGTTTTGAATTACCCAGCTAAGTAGGATCGATTGCCGAATACCATTTTTATTCAGGGGAATTAAATTCCATCTTAAATTTTTTTATTTGAAAGCAAATTCTAACTTCGTTCATATACAATATTCAATTGTTCCAAAAATGAACTTTTGAACCAAACTCGTGCTGCATTCTAGTCATTTTCTAGACAATTAAATCCACACAAAAATACACCATCTATCTTTCTTGCAGGAAACCAATCCGATTGTATTTGAAGAAGAGGAAGAATAACTTGTAATAGTACCCCCTCGCAAAAATGAACTATATGTCGCTGATTTTGAGCTGTCGAGCTTTATCTCGGATCTGCTCATTGCGGGTTTAAAATTTTGTCTCGAGAAAAAGACGGACATTCCTGTCGACCATGAAGGAAATTGAATTCTTCTGTATTCACTCACCAAGAGCCAGTTGCTGAGGTAAAACAGCAGCTATGACAAACAGGAATCCCAGCAGCCAAGAAATTTCGGCCGCACTGCGCGAACTGACCATGTCCCGGTTCATTTCTGATGACGATCGCCGCCCGACGCGATTTCCAACAGAGACAAACGAGACTGCGATTCGTTATCCTTTTCCTACCTGTTTTTTTCATGATTCAAATTTCAGGGAAAGAAGGAAAAAAATACTTGAATTAAACTCATAATTGTTTCCTGTTTTCTTTAACCCTTGGGCAGCAAAGTTGGACTTTTTCTGCAAATTTGTGTGTGTGAACATCTTTAAAAAAAAAGAGCAACAGTTTACCCAGGGCAAAGTCTGGCAAAATATCAGTGTATTTTTTTAAATCCACAGACAATTTTTGCACAAAAATAAAAATACATTGCCAAGGCTGAGCATTTTTAGCCTCTCTCTGGATTAGTTGCATTCTTTTGAGATTCTCTGCCCTTTCATTCCGGCACCAGAAGAAAGATTCCCATGTAGAGGCAAAAAAAAGTTTAGCAGAGCCAGTCTGAATTTGGGAAATATTAGCAGCACCTTTTGCCAACCAAAGTCTGATTTTGCCATAGGCTGCCTAGCTTGGCATTGATGGCCTTGAAGAAAAATGAAATGTGAGCCCACCCAAGAAAATCCCAACTTATTCCTGGGATTGAAAGAACCCTTTGCCATGTGAGGGTTAAAGGAAAAGACATACATTTACATTCATTCAATACTAGTGCACCAAGAAATGTAGTCACTGCTTCATTTTCGTGAGCACAGATTTATTAAAAAAAATTTGCTTGGTTGAGAAATCTGCAGGAAACAAGGGAGTGATTCAGAAGATGATATTTTTCCCTGATGCCTAATTGAGCAGTGATTAGCAAGATACTTTATTTGACTGGAATACTTTGTTTGCTTCCACACTAGTACCCAAAGAGTATATATTGGGGACCTACCAAACCAGTGGGATACAGGCCTCATAAAATAATTTGGGTGGAAGAATTGCCCAATGGTAAATACAGAGAGCCCAGAAAAAAGAAAAAAAACTTCAAGAACTTTTGTGTTCACAAGATTCTGAGCCCAGTGTATGTCTTCAACTCTGTTTCTCCAGGCCAATCCAAAGGTCTGTAAAAATTGCCTGATCTCCAGCCAGAGTACTGGAAGAATGCCAAGTAACTGTAGTAAATTAATGAAAACTGTTTTTAATTCCCAGTATTCATTAGTGTCATGGAGGTTTGGATGTAGAAATATTTTACAGAAGGAAGAATTAAAGTATAACACAAGAATTGGTTGGGCTACAGCCGGGGTGCTCAAGAACACCCTATTTTAAAATGTTGTATTCACAATCACAAGTTTTGTTAAACAGTTTTCCGAACAAATTTGCCAAGTACTTTTTGTTCCGCACAGTACAATGGTTCAAGGGATAGTGATGAAAAATCCTGAGTCGTTTCCTCAGGAAAAAAGGGTTCTTGTGGAAATTTTCCACTGTAAATTTTTAGGTTAAATTAAAGCTTCCGCCAATAGGGATACAGTTACGGGTTTTTGGACTTTTTTAAGATTTCAAGGACTAAGGGTCAATTTTTGGTTCTTATGAGAACGGGCGAAAAACCCAATTCCCATGGAAGTATCCAAGGACAAATTTTGGCAATTGCTGAAACTTGTCTCTGTTTATTGCTTAAATTTCTAAAGGCGCCATTTGGCATGTCCTCTTTGGGGGATTAGGTTTGTTTTTAGGAATAGTGGGACATGAAAAATTGCTTTCCGTCAGCTCAAGGCTGGTGATTAAATTTGATATGCTTGGTTCTGCAGAAGTGACTCAGAAAATTCACAACAATTAGTCTGTCTTGGCTGTCATCTGCAGCAGTTGCATGCCCAAAAATAACAGCATTCTGAGAGGTTTTTCATTTTATTCTAGTTTGGCGTGTTCTTAAAATATTAATTCTTGCTGGGAAAAAAATCTAAAATACAATGTACCTTTAAATCAGGGCTTCTACTAAGGGTTCCTGGTCTTTGTCCTAGGCTGAATCTGCATTTTGCTTCCACTACTCTTTGATCAACAGCCAATCTTAACATTCTTATGTTGTGGTAACTGTTATCCCCAACAGTATACAAATTGAAACTTCATGAACCAGGGTTTACAGCAAACATTTTCAATAAAATTACTTCCCAGCTTGATATTCTCTCCAGCCCGGTTTCCAGCACAATTTTGCATGAGCACTCAACTGAACACCACTTCCTCTAATTGAACCATGCGATTTTTGTAAACAGTACTATGTACCGCTAAATTGATTTGATGGTTAAAAACAATCGTATACGGTCTAAAAAGGAAATTGGATTTTTCAAATAGGTTTTGGGCTGGTTTGAGAGATAGATTCTTGAAAAGAATTACAAAGTAGCACCTCAACAGCTTTATTTCCAGAAGAATTGCCCCTAATTTATGTTGGAAGAGGAAAATGTGCGCAATTTCTTTGCTCATTGCCTAAAAAATATGAGAAAATCAAGCACAACCTGACTATATATCATTGTTTGTATAAATGCGAGTGTACATTTTATTTCAAGGTGGAACTTGGGTTCTCTGAGTCCGTCGTGATGACCTATAACAATTTTGAATTGATTCCAGGAAGATTTCATCCCAAGGATGTTCCTCTGAATACAGTACATTCAATCTGTTGTTGAACTTGGATCACCTCCACATAAAAAGCCCACGCTCACGTTTTTCATCCCACAGGGATCAATTCAATTTTTATCAGTTGGAAAAGTAACTCATGAGAAAAATCGAAAAAAACTCCACATCCGAAGTTAAAAATAAACCTATACAATTACATTTGTTTAAAAAAACGTATTTTTTTAGATTTAAAAAATGCTGGTGACTGATCAAAGACTTACACGCGAACGAAGTGTTTCCGGCTTTCCGACATTTTTTGTATTATTGCTAATCAGCCATTTTCTCTGAGAATGCTCATCAAATATTCGAACTCTAATTCACAGTCTAGTTCAAGTCACATTTTCTTCAGGAAATCTAATTACTCCGTCCAAAAGCTACATCAATTTTTTTTAAAGCAATATATATGGCTTTCTGAATATTATTTTTTCAATACCCGACAGCAAAAAAAAGAACTTTCATGATTTGAATAAAATCGCCAAATTCTGTCCCCATCTTTCAACACTTTCAAAAGCATAAAAACATCAAATCGCATTGCTGTCACACTTGTTGAAAAAGAAAAAGTGGTCACAAAATTCGGACAGACTCCAAATACAGTATAACCTTTCAGATTTTCAAAACATGGGTAATATCACCAATTCAATCAGTTTCAATAATTGAGAGGGGGGGGGGTTGTGAATGGATCAAGCAAAATATTCGATGTTATTGATTGACCTCAGAAAACGGGAAGAAAATGAGAACTCTTGACAAGGAAACACTGATCAAGATCAAACCCCTTTCCGTTCAGATTCTGACACACACTTGGCATATGATAGATCCCATCTTTCCATGCCATGAACTTTTAGGGGAACATGCCTGGGATATTTCAAAAATACAGTGAAACTTCTCCAAGTCAAATTTCAAGGGACCCAGCAAAAAAAAAATGCAACTTGGTTCGGTTTTGACTTAGAGAAGCAAGCATTCTTCTTCTGGGAAACATGGGAAATTTGTAGAAAATTGTAAATTTTAATATTCTGGGCCTTAAAGTGCTTCTTGAATGAGTTGAACAGATACTGAATTTTGAGGCAAGGGTTAATTTGTACAATTAATAATTCAATTCCTTTTAAAAATACATCAAGTTACTTCTTTATTTCTTTTCTCTTTCCTGGCTCAAGGAAATAATACCCAATAGGCTTGAGAAAATTTGAGTTATTGAAATTTGAGATGAAAAGCCTTTGAGCTAGGGAGGGTTTTTGTGCCTTTTTTAAGCAGCAAATAAAGCTCTTTTTTTCGTCCCCCACACAAAAATCACTTGTTATTAAGGGGATTTGAACATGGACTTGAGAACAATTTTACTTCGGGAAATTTGAGTCATCAAGGTTCAACTTGAATAAAGTATGTGAACCCAGGTCCCTTTCCTCATTGTGAGGTAGTGCCAGGATTTATTTGCATGCTTATATGTGCTTCAGTTTGACCAAAGGTCACTGTATATGCAGCTTTGGTTGAGAAGCCAAAGTTGGGGGAAATCTGGGAAAGGGAAAATCATTTGTTCTGAAAATCCCTCAATTCCAATGCATTCCAAAGCAGGAATGCAGAAAAAAACACCAAATAACAGTTACTCTTTCTCACTTTTTTAATGAAATTTTTTTCTGCAGGACTGCATGAAAATATTTAGAAATTTTTTCTGCAGGACTGCATGAAAATATTCAGGTTTTTTTCAGACCTTGGCTTGTCTAATAATTCTTGATTTCTCTCCTCTTTTACTCCTTGTGGCCCACTATTTTTCAAATAAATTCCAGCACTGCCACATAACCCAAGGTTTTTTCCAGACTTTGGCTTGTCTAATAATTCTTGTTTTCCCTCTTTTTTTTACTCCTTCTGACCCAAAAATTTTGAAATAAATTCCAGCATTGCCACATATAACCCAAGGGTTAAAATTGATAAATAATGTCCATGTGAAACTGACGGAGGAATGGTATGATTTTCAGACACATGAGCATCAAGAAACACTGAAAAGAACCTGTCCAAGTAAGCTCCAGCAGCGCACTGACAAACACCCCCTGTATGGGTGCTAGCACCAGGCTGCCCCAACCCAAAGCGGGGGGGGGGAACTCGCAGCCAACGTGGGCGCGAACCCGGAATATGTCATCCCCCCCTTGGCTTGCACGTTTGTTTCCTCAGCAAAAAAAAAAGGAGAATAAATCCCCTGAACCAGACGAAATAAAGAGAGAAGAAAATAAAGAAGAAGGAATCAAGAGGACACACACACCCTGGTCTTTATCCCGTTGAAAGCAGAGAAATGAGCGTGGAAATTGTATATAAGGAAGTTAATCCGAGCCGGAAGCCGGAAAACGCTTTCGCCTTTAACTCTCCTCGTGGACCAACACCTGACCTAAAACGTGCCTCACATTCATGGCTTTGTTGAGGAATTATTGTTGTTTTTCTTTCCTGAATCGACCAATGATCCGGGGACAGAAATAGACTGAACTTCGCAATGCTTATGCGACTCGCATACAGCAGTGTCGTGCCTCGGTTAACAGACTTAA